ATTTTGGGACTGATCAGAAAAACAAAATGGCTGAAAGACGGCCTTCTTGGATTTTTAATTGAATGATTTTTATAGCTATTTTTTTGAGAATTACAGCATACATCTTTCTCAAATTTCATGTGTATGCTTTCCTTGATCCCTAGTTGTGCCTGTTTGATTTTGGTACTGATCAGAAAAAACAAAATGACCCACAAATGACCATCTTGGATTTTGACTTTGCAAGTTTGTTACCACTATTTATTGAGAACTACTCTTTAGATCTTTCTCAAATTTCTTGCATAGGTTCCTTTAGGTCCCTAGTTGTACCTGATTGAATTTGGGATTGATCAAAAATTTTTTAATTCTTAATTAATGCCATTTCACTAGAGCCTCATAAAGGATCTAGTAAGATATACCAGTAGAAGTAATTACAATTTAACCATATTATCATAACGATCAATTCTACACCATATCTTATGAAAGTGATCATAGGTCAAGGTTAAAGGGCCAAAGGTCACATCTGAGAACTTTAGCAAATGCATGGAAGAGGACATTTATATCTTACAGATGTTACCTGGTTTACTGCAGATTTCAATACATTGTAATTGTTAGTTGTGACATTGTTGGCGGTCAGATTATGTCTGTTCCTGAATAAGTGTCCAGCAGTCCAAGTGTTGCTGTTAGAGTAGTGACCTATAACAGGTAAAATTAGACCTTGTTTACTTGTGTTGAGTACTAGCAACCATCTTAAGTACTGGTTGATGTCTTCCATGAGATCCTCCAGAATGTCTTTAGTGTTGATTTGCAATCCATGAAAATGATGGTATATAGAGAGACCACTTATTCTTGATAGATGGTCTCCTGTCAGAAGATGACTTGGTTACCTGGAGGTCTCTTAATTTCCAGGCTGTTTCTGTGTTTCTTCTTTATGTTGTTGTAAATATGATACTGTTTTCTGTGTCATAGAGAAGTTTGTTTCTTATTTATTGTTACAAACAAAAAACTTGCTGGACGTTAAGAAGAAATGACTCACTTCATTTACTGATTTACATTGGAGCTGCTTTTTCTGATACTTGTAGAATATTTTAATTTGTCTTTGATACAAGATATTTCTGCATTAATGATCAAACTTAGTCTGCTGGGGACAATAAAGACGGGGATAAGGAACGGTACATCGTCTGACAATCCGCAGTTTTGTTGGAGGTCATCCTTTATCTGGGATCTGATGATGTTATTTTAGATAATACAGTATCTACCCATCATTGTTGTATATGACCGTAATCATCAGCCTGTCTGCTGTGGTCACTTGCTCTTTGTCACGACTCAATGGAACACGCTACATAGCAAACCTTACAATTGACCAGGTCGTTTTCAGTTAGACTAGCGTCTTCAATCGACATGATCCATGTATCATTATTAACATTATCAATGGAAGTTTAACAAATATTTATTCTGCATTGAATAGATGTTTGGTCAATATTTCAAAAAATGAAAAAAATTAAAAAGGAAGCATTGACAATTAGGGAAAATGGAAACATTTTAATGATATCTATTGAAATGTATAGCTCTCAAGATTTCATTACTTACGGAGGATAAAAAAAATTCATATATGCAGAAAATGGAATAATTAAACAAACAATTTTACTGAAAAATATTATAAAGATTGTAAAGTCTTCCTAGAAAATAAGATTACAAAAACATCAAAATGAAATTGAACAAAGTATATTAAACACCAGAAAATTTAAACACAGGTTTTATGATAATGCAAAATAGAAAAGACGACCTCAAACATCATAATTTTGTAAAGATTTTTTTTTAAAGGTTACTACGGTTATTAAGCTATTTTTAAAGATTACTATGGTTATTTATATATACTAGGAAGTGTAGGAATAAAGAAGGAAAGAAGAGTATATTAAAGTTTTAGCAAATTAATGCCTTTCAGTTTGTGTTATTTAAACATCAATGATAAAAACTTCAAGAATCAGTGTCTGTCTGGATTAGAAATAAAGTTTTATAAAGAACCCTGTTGGGAGATCGAAAGTTAAACAATTTTGTCAGTAGGTGTTTTAGATGGGGGCCTTTTTTATTGGGAGTACCAATAATTTCCTGTGGGTAAATGGTGATACAGATTAACGAGGAACAGTGTGGTGATGAGACTCCTCTGGAGGTTTTACCTATCCATGTGTCTCCTGCTAATTGTAACAAATGTTTACAGATACTATCAATTGGTCAGACATTGGCCCGTACTAGTCAGACACTCTCACACAATATCTAATCAAAATTGTAGTTAGCTAGTTTGTGGACTGGCTGCTCAAATTGTCTCTGATAGGTTGGGGACTACTGTAGCAAGCTTCCTCATCTTGTATGTATACATGTCTGTCTGCCCAACAAAACTTTTCATTTTTATTAATAGACCCCTTGAAAAATGGCATAGGCTGTTTGGTATGAGTTTGTAATTATTTCTGTTATCACCGTGTATTTTATTGGCAGAGCAAAGGAAATAGCGATTCTAATAGTCAATTTGACATAGAGTCGGTACCATCGACTGCCTTTTTATTACACACGGATCTTGTCCTAAAACTTTGTGTGGTATTTGCTGTAATTATATTTTTTCCATCATTCTGATTGCATTCATCTCTCCAACTACATACAAAAATATAAAAGATAGAAAAAGTCATAAATATTTTAGCCAGAACACAGATAATGTGTACTTTGAAAGGTGCCAAACATGGTCCGTGGAGACAAAATGTGGATTTTATCAAAAAAAGGCTTTTTATGTTTGATATAGCTTGGTGATTGGAAATCTAATACAGTGTTAATCAGACTATCATCGTTTGTGTTGTATAATTCCACAAATTATCAACTATAACCGATATATAGATATGAAAGCAGCCATTTCATGTCTGGTGATTACGAAGTTTAACCTCGATATAATTCCATATATGCGTTATTGTTGTCGTGATTTATTTTTGTCTCCTCCTGCAGAAGTGGCAATGAGGTCTTACATATCTGTTGGCGTCAGCACTGGCAAAGTCGCCAAATATGGTATATGCAAATAGATTGATTATAAGGCATACCATTCATGTGAGGACATAAATCTGAAATATTGGAAAAGCATGCTTTGATCTAGTGTTTCTTTTCAAATCATAAGATTTTTTATTTTTAGAATTAAAATTGGCAAGAATACCTTCAAAATGTTCAGGTTGACTTGATAATTTTTACACTTCTCCAATTAATGAAATAATTTGATATGTAAAACACATTTTTCATGCATTTGTCAATGTTAGTATTATCATTTCATACATTTTTCAGAATTAATCATTTTTATATCAACATCAAGAATTTGTGTTAAACTCATTTTCTCACAAATATTTTCTCACGAAGTACTTCAGTAATCAAACTGAGGTTATAACAGTAGATAGAGGGATGTTCAACACAGACAATTAAATAAAACATGGATTAGATATGGGAAAAGCATGTAATATGGTGGATTTTGAAATTTACAAGAATTTCTGTAATTTTTTATTTCTAGTTTCATACTCACCATTATTCATATAAAATAGGTTTGAAATAATTTCAATCAGGTTCTTTTATTTATTTTTTTTATAGTTTAGAATTTGAATACAGTAATATCAGAACATTGTAGTTGAGAAAGCAACAGACAATTCTCCAGAATAGGATCCAGTTTAACCAAATTCTTGTTCTTAATTTATCATTTTTTATTCAGGTAAAAAAAAAAAAAAAATTCTAATAAATAAAATTAACCAGTGCCAATTTAAAAATTCACATGTGAAAGCGAAGATGTTGAAACCTCCCAAAAAGTTGTTGCTGTAAGTACAGTGGACCAAAGGGAGAGTACAGAGAGATATGGTGTGGTGATTACACTGCCCTTTTTTTATCACCCCAGTATACGGTTCCCCCTCATTCCTGATATACAGCCATATGCTGTTTAAATATTTGTAAATGATCTTTTGTTGATTTTCCTCTGTAATTTGTGATTGTAATTGCCCTGGTGTCAGTGCCAATCAGAAGTCAGAATTCCTCACACATTTCTGGCCGTTGATTAATGGCTAGGCGAAAATGAAACTGAATGTATGGTCATATATCGGCTTTCCTCCATCCATCACCTGTATTATACTGGCTAATATGCTATGTCTATCAATGGGTCACACTTTTTCCAGCTCTGTTTTATACTCTATCTTTCAACATCAACATTGGCTTATTTTTCATTTGCCATAAATCCAGGTGTTTTCTCGATATATAATCATTTAATTAGATAGTTTTAACATATGGAAAAATGAATTGATGTTTCCGTTAGAATAGTTTTGGAATAATAAATAATTCTTGCAGGCAAATGAAGTATCAGGACAAGTGCTTGTAAAACAAGCCTTATAATAAGTGTATATATCTGTGACTTGATCATGTATACACATGTTTTTTCTCTTATTAATGAAAAAAAAAAAATATTCAGCTATTATTTATTTGTTAATTGAATGGGTTTAGCAACTGTTATTATGGCATTTTAGACTTAAATCTGTGGAGCTTGTATTGTTAATGTCATGTTTCACCTCCAATGCAAAAGAGTTCATCATTGTGTTTAGGAGTGGTACATAGGCTAAGCTAATTAAATGAGGTCACATTGGTAAGGAACACATGATTCATTCAGGAAAATACATAACACTGCAGGTATTCCCATTGGTAAAAAGAAGTATTTCAAAGGGAGATAACTCTTAATGAAAGTCACTGCAAAGGGTCTATAATTTGACACCCAAAGAAACACAATACATGGTTTATGTTGGATTATTGAGTATTTTTTGTATTAGATAATTTAATGGATTATACTGAGATGTTGAAAAAGAAAAGTATTAGGCTAGTCAGGATGTCAGAATAATTAATTTTACCATAACCATAACCATGGAATTTTCAAATTTCACTCAGTTGGCTGAAAGTCTTTTTATGGAAAATTGTGTATTTCTTTTAATTCTGGTTATTTTCATGAATGGCTCTGTTTGAACTTTCAGGACTATGTACGATGTGGTGTTTCAAGTCTGTCCAGCAATGACATCCTCCTTACAGGTAAGATATCTCCCCATTTTAAATATCCCCCCTCACGGGTAATATATCTCCCCATTTAAAATATCTTCCTCACAAGTAAAAACATCTTCTCAGGCAATTTATCCTCCACAAAGGTAAGATATCTCCCCAATTAAAATATCTTACACACTGGTAAATTATCTTTCCAGTTAAAATATCCTCTTTACAGGTAAAATTTCTCCTCGGGTAAATTATCTTCTCAGGTAAATTATCCTCCACTAAGGTAAAATATCCTCCTCACATGTAAAACACTTTCTCCAGTTGAAATGTCCTCCCAGGTAAAATATTCTTCCAACAGGTAAATATCCCCCTCACTGGTGAAACACTTTCTCCAGTTGAAATGTCGTCCCAGGTAAAATATTCTTCCAACAGGTAAATATCCTCCTCACTGGTGAAACACTTTCTCCAGTTAAAATGTCCTCCCAGGTAAAATATTCTTCCAACAGGTAAATATCCTCCTCACTGGTGAAACACTTTCTCCAGTTGAAATGTCGTCCCAGGTAAAATATTCTTCCAACAGGTAAATATCCTCCTCACTGGTGAAACACTTTCTCCAGTTGAAATGTCCTCCCAGGTAAAATATTCTTCCAACAGGTAAATATCCTCCTCACTGGTGAAACACTTTCTCCAGTTGAAATGTCGTCCCAGGTAAAATATTCTTCCAACAGGTAAATATCCCCCTCACTGGTGAAACACTTTCTCCAGTTGAAATGTCGTCCCAGGTAAAATATTCTTCCAACAGGTAAATATCCCCCTCACTGGTGAAACACTTTTTCCAGTTGAAATGTCGTCCCAGGTAAAATATTCTTCCAACAGGTAAATATCCTCCTCACTGGTGAAACACTTTTTCCAGTTGAAATGTCCTCCCAGGTAAAAGATCTTCCCAGTTGAATTATCCTCCACAGGGGAAACATGCTTTCTTCACAGGAAAAATATCTTCTTCACAGTGGAATTTCCTTATCACACATAAGATCTCCCTTCAAAGATAAAGCGAATAGATATATTAAAGCTTGTATTGACAACAGGAGAAGGCATTAAGGATTTACTTATTTCTGAATGCCTTTTAAACAGTTTTAAGAATTTTAAAATGTTGATGTTTCATTCAAGTGTTTAGTTGGATCTTGAATATAATTAATTTTGAAAAAAAATCATGGCTTCTTGCTAGACTTACAGTCATCAGACATTATGTGAAAAGAAGAATATGTCACTATCATAATGTAACATGACTTAAAACATATGATGTATTATATAAGGTAGGATTTAACCTTGATACAAACTAGAGGTTTAGTGTGTAAGATAGTATATAGCCTTAACATAAACCAGAGGTGTAATTTGTAAGGTAACATATAACTGTAATATGAACCGGAGGTGTAATGTGTAAGGTAGGATATAACCTTAATATAAACCAGAGGTGTAAGGTAGGATAACCTTAATATAAACGAGAGGTGTAATGTGTAAGGTAGCATATAACTGTAATATGAACCGGAGGTGTAATGTGTAAGGTAGTGGTAGTATATAACCTTAATATAAACCAGAGATGTAATGTGTAAGGTAGGATATAACCTTAATATAAACTAGAGTAGTAATGTGTAAGGCAGCATGTAACTTTAACGTAAACCAGAGGTGTAATGTGTAAGGTAACATATAGCCTTAATATAAACCAGAGGTGTAATGTGTAAGGTAGGATATAGCCTTAATATAAACCAGAGGTGTAATGTGTAAGGTAACATATAGCCTTAATATAAACCAGAGGTATAATGTGTAAGGTAACATATAGCCTTAATATGAACCAGAGGTGTAATGTATAAGGTAACATATAGCCTTAATATAAACCAGAGGTGTAATGTGTAAGGCAGCATGTAACTTTAACGTAAACAAGAGATGTTATGTGCAAAAAATCATAATCAAAGATATGATGTCTGGGGTATATAAGCCAGAAAATTAACCTGTTTAATCTTTCAATGCCCCTGAAATGTCAGACCGATTATGATGTAAGCATTACTGATGCAGGCTGCTGATTTCAGCCTGAATTAGATATGTCCAGGTGTCTAGGTGGTCCTCATATAAAGATTTTACCCAGCAAAACTTGGTGTCACACATGGATGATAGGCATTCATATTCTTTCTACACATTCAATCTTGACAAGTTTTCAAGATATAAGGTCATAAACAGTGAGAGAATGATGGAAAGTTGTTACATTTTATATATACGTCTGATTGACGGAACTTAACATGATAAAGAGCAAGTCATACTGCACATGTGAAAGGTCACATGTCAAGGTCATCACTGAAACTGTGTTTGAATGAAATGAATCGTGATTGATTTGTATTTTTTGAAAAAGTTAGTAATTATTACTCGTCTAGTTCCAAAGTTTGTGTTGGGTCAATAGACATCAGTTTGTTAAATCCAGCTTACTGATGTTACACAGCAACTTCACATGTATGACATATTGCTGATAGTGAAAGTGTGTGTAACTAATAGACACCAAAGAAAATTTATACCCATTTACAGTTAACTAAATATAAAATACAGAGAAAACGAGATCCAATGTCTGGTCTGGTAGATTCAGTAATACAGGCAGTCTTCCTAGGATAGATTCCTAGTGGAATACAGGGGTCTGGTTCAAAGATGTGTTAACAACAAGTATAAAATACTTAAAACAATATAAACTGACATAAAACCAAAAAACTACATTAAATGATGCTGATTTCTCTCTATGTATTGGTCACCCATTTTCCTTAAAGTTGATATTCTTGATAAATTAAAATTTCTATAAACACAATTTGTATGCATACATAAAGAAAACATACTGTAATTTCCATTAGTAATCAATGATAAGTCTTTGAGAAGCAACTTAAAGGAGTCTGTTTGCTTGTTCAATTCAATGATGTTGATTAAAAAAAATATAAAAAGTATAAACTGGTCATGTTATCTACATTATCATCAATATTAAACTTCCTTCTATAAACGTGTTTTTCCAAATTTAGTAAAACTAATTCCAAAGGTAAATAATGACATTTGATGACAAGTTACTATCATAGTCTACCAACATTTTGGGCTATGATCCCTCAAGTTCTAGATTGGTAGGGTATTGTTAGTGTCTTAGACTATCCATCAATCTGGCTCAGGCTTTATCTTGTGGATCCTTGATAAAAAATGCTTGCTGTTTATTGCTGTAAAGTTTGATATCATGATAAACACACAACACTCCATATGTACATGAAGTATGAGATTATGTATATGTCAATTCTCTAACCTTTACATAAATTGTTAAATCTTGAATTGTCCAAACTTTGGGGAGAAGTATTGCTTTGGAACTTTTTCTTTACTGTTGGAAATCCATTCATAAGACAGCTGTTTTAATGTTAGGTATCTTTTCAGAATTTGTGTAAAAAAAATTTAGTTGAGAACATTTTTGCCCAGAATAATGTCTGGAGTTATTATTCTATTGAAAACAGGTGCCCCCAAGGGCCTTTCATAGAACTTAATGGAGACAAAATATATTTGAAAGTGATTGCAATTCTCAATGACAAATTAATCATTTTCAAGGAACTGAATCTGTTTGTTGAGGTTAAGATATACAAAAAAATGAAAAATTGAAGATGATAATGAAAGATTTTTAAGGAGGGCAGTTCAGGCCTGCCCAGCTGATGAGGATATAAGCGAGAGGATATTGGAATATTTTTAGAAGGAAACAGTTTCCATAATGATTTTTTCCAGTGCCCCATAAAAATCTCTGAAAAGTTCATAAATATCTGATATTTCTATTTGATATCAACATTATTGTTTAAATATGAAATTTCTGATCAATTTTAGAATTCTGAATAGATCATTGCAGAGAATGTTTTGATTCTTTCCTTAATAAAATTTATAAAAAAAAAGTGGTGATTAGTTTTCTCCAGAAACTAATGTTTTAATTGATAAATGGCACTGTAATTTATATATGAAATATGAATTTTTTTTTTCTCAGGTTCCTACGACCACAAGGTGAAGCTTTATGACACACGTATTGGGGACAGCGTGCTGACCGTAGATCATGGACAGCCGGTGGAAGATGTCCTCACGTTTCCTACAGGGGGAATCTTTATTTCTGCAGGTAACTCATTTATTTAAAAATCAAAAGTCAGGATCTGTAACCTGAGGTACATTTGTGATTTGAAAAATTTGCAGGCTTTATACAACCACAGGGCACCAACCTTAGCAAACAGCATGATGGTGTTGTGATTTAGGCCTTAGTTGATTAAGTTATGAATATTGCTATCATGAAATTTACATGAACACTTTCCAATAAAGAACTAAAGATGTTGAAAAATCTGATGATGTAATTCCATGCAATGTAGTTAAGATAGCTTGACAAAAACGCTTAATTACGTCTTTGCTCATATTCCCAAACAATTCGTTAAGGGAACATTAAACAACGACATAGGATCAGAATATAATATTTAGTTAAATAAAAAAGCGAAATTGTTCTGTAAGTATTGCAATGTTAACATTTTTATCTTCTATCAATTCATTTATTATCTTAAATAATGTGACATTTAAAATTTCCTTCTTAAATGGTGTTTTTCTAGTACCATGTTTCACAATATCTGATTGGCTATTAAAAACAACCATTAAGATAGAAGCAATAGAAAGGTCTCAGATAGATATTTTTTATTTGCGCTGGTTGGAAGAAAATTATATAATACTTCAGCCATTTGGGGAAGACCTTAAATGTGTCATAGATTAAGGGTTACATCATTGAGTTTTGAACTGGATATCAGCTGGTGACATATACATGTACAGTAGGTATACAAAATTTCTCACCAGTAAATTTGACCACATGCATGGTATGAGTAGGAGTATGGTATGATTGTTCATGATATTTCATAATGCAGTGGAAACCACTTAATGTCACATCAGTTGATATCACTTTATGGTTGATATCATGTTATCTTGAGAAACCAGATTTTTCTCCTTCTGATATTTTCACTTATTTTACTGTGAGCAACACTTAATATGTTATTTCAGTGACTGTCACAAAATTTTTTTTAAAAAACCTACATAAATCACAAGTAAGTAAGGGAAAGAACTTGGGGTCAAGCCTGGAGGGTCATACGTCACACCTGGCTGTGTTAAGTAAACATTGTTACTTCCCTTCTGGCAAACCTTTCACCCCTGGCAGACTCCAGTACAATAGTTTCATACTCTTAAAGGTAAGGTCCAGTTTGGTCAAGTAAATCTTATCTGTTTGTTTTTAGGTCACCTGGCCCAAAGGGCCAATGGGGGCTTATGGAATACCACAGTGTCTGCCTTCCATCTGTCTGTCTGTCTGTCCCTCAACTTTTTCCTCAAATTGCTATTAGTCATAAATGATTTCTACCAAATTAGGTCAGAAGCATCCTTGAGGAAAGAAAAACAAATTTGTATGAATAATGAGTCTTGGCCCCCTTGGGCTTAACGGGCAGGACCCAGTAAGAGAAAAAGAGCAAATTATTACCTCACCTCACCCAAAGGGTAAACTAAAGAAGCTCCGATAAAAGATTTGAACCTCAAGTTTGAAAAAAATGAAGTCAGGATGAATTGAATAAAGAAAATTTATCACACATGGCCCAAAAAGCTTCATAGGACTGCATATATATTTACTTCAATTGCAGTCATATTTCCTGAATGATGCATTCAGTGTACATGATGTATTGTATGGAACATTGAAGATGAAAGAAAATCCTATTTAGTCATAATATCAGAACATCAACATCTTAATCTTTCATAAAGTCATTTATTACTTAAACTCTAGTGAACAGTGGTAATTCTGTTCTCAAACCAGCTTTTCCATGTGCCGAGTTTCAGTGAAATCTGATTGTCCTTTAGAAACAACCATTGATATAACTGTGTACGTTATTTTTGTAGGCAATGCTCAAAGAAAACGATCGTCAGAATATTTTATCATAGTTGCAGCTATATCTTGTGTATAAATATCAGCTGTGTGCTAATGCCCTATTGTGGAGTCTGCACAGTAAATGATGAATGAATTACCCAGCAGTATACCAGCTGATGACACTTTGTGTCAGATATGAAATACATATTTCAAAGAATAAAAATAATTAAGAAAGATCATTGTGCTTATGGGAATAACAAAGCAAATTACCATTTTTTTGTCTGCAAACAATTCATGTTGGAAACATGTCAGTTTGGATGCTAAAAATGTTCTCTTTCTGGTTTAAATATCCGGAAAAAATGAGTGGAGTGTTGATGTCATGTTCCAGTTATTATCATATTTTCTCTTGACAAATGGCACTTGCTGTTAAGCAATGTTCGCTGCATCAGGTTGTTTATTTTAAAGACATAGCCAGATAAAAGACAAAAATAGCGGTTACTAAATGGGAAAATAAACTAAATTTCAAAACTTAAAACTTCAAAACTTGGAAACATTTTCAAACATTTACTGTAAGAATCAAGTCAATTTGACATATCAGAAATTTCACTTTCAGGTTTAGACATCAGGAAAAATAGAGCGTTCATGTCAAATTCTTGTTATAACCCAGTGTATTCTGACAAACAACACATGATGTGTAATTTTTATTGTATTCTATTTTATTTGACATCTCATCATGTTACATATCTTTAATCTTACCTATTTTTTATACAGGAATGTATGTTACTTTAGCATATAACGAACTTCATATAGTGTTCTGTATTCCTGTTGGCTGAGATTATGGACATGTATTGTACCAAGAAATCAAGCTGTTTTTGAGTATCTTTACAACCATAATGTAAGAGTATAACTATTTACTCTTTCAAATTCCGTATTCCTGGAAGTTTTTTTTGTTTGATAATGCAGTATAAGCACCAAATTTGAGAACTGTAGTTACGGTTTCGTGACTGCCATCACTTCGGAACATTGAGGAGTGTCTGTTAGTGTTAATTTGATGTCACCAAAATTTTATTCCTGATTGCTCAACACTATGTAAGAAAGACCGCAACCATTTCTGATCGTAAGTTAGTTCTTGTTGTTTTTGTAATAGCTGATTGAAATGGAAGTTTTAGATAGAAGCTGTAAAACTGCATGCATGTACTTACAGGCTAAATAATGTACACTAAGATTTGATTCAGTGTTGTCATAAAGTAGCAAGGATTAAATTTTATATGTTAAAATATATTTGTGGGAAAGTACAGGATTAAGAGAAAAAATGTGAGTTTAGAATTTCATTTCTATGTTATATATTATACTATGGTTGTATTTTTTTGTTATCAACCAGATCTGATGTCTCTGCCATTCCATGGGGGAGTTGCCATTTAGCACACATGGGATGGGGGGAGGGGTTGCGGGGGAAACCTCCACCTTCTGTACCAGGCAAGTCCATCACAGTGATGAGGTTTTTTGATATAAGACATCAACATAGATAATAAAGTGAGGATAAAAATGTCTACCTTCATTAGCAACTGGCCAACAACAAGGAGAAAAAAAACTGCATTTCATGACAAAGAGTCAACGATCCATGACAGTAACCCTGCTAACTAAAACTGGAAGTTTTTGTTTTATTAGAATCTAGTTACAAACATAAGAATAAAAAAGGTTTGCATTGACAAATACACCTCCGACATGTCCTAACATTGCAGCACATCCATCCATTACTGTGAGTAATTTGACTCGCTTTCAGCTGTGTTTTGGTGTATGGTAATGTCAAAAATGTGGAACTCCAAATAATACAAACTGTATATCATTGAAGCATGAAATTGCCATAGGTCTCCCAGCAGTAGCCTTATGGTGATGGGTGTCAGAAATTCCTATTTATCTCAGCAAAAATTGCTACGAAATATTCTTATTTTGAAGTAATCTGTCAGGTATTGAACATAAACATTAATGCTAATGGCATTTTTATTTCATTCCCAGAATCCTCCTCTGGTCTGGAATCCATCAGATCCATCGAGACTTCCCCCTCTACCTTGTGTCCTTTGTAAATAGTGATGTCTTATAAAATCAGGATCAGTGGAGTTTGATAGATTCTTACTGCCTGGTGTATCTATAATTCTGACTGCCTGGTGTATCTATAATTCTCACTGCCTGGTGTATCTATAATTCTCACTGCCCTGTATATCTATAATTCTGACTGCCTGGTGTATCTATAAGTCTTACTGCCTGGTGTATCTATAATTCTCACTGCCCTGTATATCTATAATTCTCACTGCCTGGTGTATCTATAATTCTCACTGCCTGGTGTATCTATAATTCTTACTGCCTGGTGTATCTATAATTCTTACTGCCTGGTGTATCTATAATTCTTCCTGCCTGGTGTATCTATAATTCTCAATGCCTGGTGTATCTATAATTCTGACTGCCTGGTGTATCTATAATTCTTACTGCCTGGTGTATCTATAATTCTTCCTGCCTGGTGTATCTATAATTCTCAATGCCTGGTGTATCTATAATTCTCACTGCCTGGTGTATCTATAATTCTCACTGCCCTGTATATCTATAATTCTTACTGCCTGGTGTATCTATAATTCTCACTACCTGGTGTATCTATAATTCTCACTGCCTGGTGTATCTATAATTCTCACTGCCTGGTGTATCTATAATTCTCATTACCTGGTGTATGTATAATTCTTACTGCCTGGTGTATCTATAATTCTGACTGCCTGGTGTATCTATAATTCTCACTGCCTGGTGTATCTATAATTCTTACTGCCTGGTGTATCTATAATTCTCACTGTCTGGTGTATCTATAATTCTTACTGCCTGGTGTATCTATAATTCTTACTGCCTGGTGTATCTATAATTCTGACTGCCTGGTGTATCTATAATTCTGACTGCCTGGTGTATCTATAATTCTCACTGCCTGGTGTATCTATAATTCTCACTGCCTGGTGTATCTATAATTCTTACTGCCTGGTGTATCTATAATTCTTACTGCCTGGTGTATCTATAATTCTGACTGCCTGGTGTATCTATAATTCTCACTGCCTGGTGTATCTATAATTCTCACTGCCTGGTGTATCTATAATTCTCACTGCCTGGTGTATCTATAATTCTGACTGCCTGGTGTATCTATAATTCTCACTGCCTGGTGTATCTATAATTCTCACTGCCTGGTGTATCTATAATTCTCACTGCCT